GTATCATATATAATTTATAAATGGGGAATTGCTTTACATTTACTACAAATATTTGCTTCTTTTTTTTTTCCCGGTCACTGGGCATGCAAGAGGGTATTGCTAGGTAGTATATTCAACAGTAAACCTTAATCTTCTGTAACATGGAGGTGGTTGTGAAAGAAGAAGTGCCATCCTTAATCTTTTCTGCTTATTTCAATATATACCTTTATTACTGTGCTGTTTAAGAATGACCAGTTAAACAATTCAAGTCTGTAATTATTGATACAGTTCAAGGGAATGGAAAGAATTCGCCTGATAGGAGACCAAACAAACGTAGCTGCTGTATCTGCTATGGAACGCAGGTCGACTCTTTTCTGTATAGGTACTTGCATGGGAAACCGCTGTCATTTTGAACCTTCATTTGCTACTCTCTCAGTATCATGAGCTGCATTAATAGCCTGATACGATGCTGATATGTTTCAGATGTGGGCATATGTGCACCTGTCTCAAATGCGCCCATGGGCTGCGGCAGGGCAGTGGAAAATGTCCAATTTGTCGAGCTCCAGTATTGGATGTCGTGCGAGCATACCTGGATTCATAGTGAACTGGTGAACGAGTTCTTGCTCTAGAGGACCGTCTTTTTCATATAACTTAACGCATTTGATGCTGACTTTGGAAAAAGGCAAATCTTTTTACTTTGCTTCTTTCACCTCTTTGGATCAATATAACCATCTAATCTTGGTAGTCACAAGTAATATCTGATCGTTACTGTCTCTCATCTTCAAATTTACGCTGTAAATGCTTTTGAGTAGTAAAATTTAACAGTCTCGGTAGGCTGTTGTTTAATTTACAAAGGCTTCTTCCTCCTCCTCCTCCTCTTCTTCAATGTGCTGTCTATTGAATAGTATTATGACTAACAGTCCACGTTAGCTAATGGAGAGAAATCTATTCATGGACTCATAGTGTGTTGGCTATCGTGGAATAATAATATTGTTGGCTAAGTTACTAGCTTGTGTGTGGTCAAAACAACACCATTATAAAATCTCTTAAAGGGAAAATCAGACCTGCAATTTTCTGTAGAATAGCATAAACAGGAAAGAAAAAAACACAGCAGAAACTCAACACTCCTTTTCTTTTCTTTCTTCTTTCTTTTTCTCTCATACATGTCCAGAACATTCAGCCATATATATATACAAAAAACACACACCTCAGCTTTACATTTGTTCGTCTTAGTCATCTTTTAATCTAACTCTTAATTACTTTCTCTTAACACAAGTTAACTAAGTAAAGTCAAGGTTAAATAGTTGTCACAATAACTTAACTAGTTACAGCATATTAACCTTAACATTCTTCCCTTTAATATGTTGAACTTTGAACTCGTAGTGCATTTCTCAGCTTTTGAAATTTATCCTTCGGCAATGTTTTTACTCGTAGTGCATTTCTCCTGCTCCTCTTATTTGCAGAACTCCATATCAACCTCTCCTTCCTAAATTGCTTCATGAATGAAATGATGTTTAAGTGAATATGCTTGGTTCTACTGTAAAAAACTAGATTCCTTGTCATTGTTATAGCTGATTTGTTGTCACAAAACAATGTTGTTGTATCTTCTTGCTTTTCTCCTCATATCCTTCATAATTCTTCTCAGACAAATAGCTAACAGAGTAGCTAAATTAGCTGCAACATATTCAGCTTCAGCAAGCGATTGAGCTACTGATTATTGCTTCTTCGAACATCAAGCAAACACACCTAAACCAAGAGAAAAACATAGTCTAAAGTACTTCACATAGCATCACACTTCCACCTCAATCACCGTCTAAAAAACCAATCAACTTCAGCTTAGGACTATCAAATTTGATGCCTTGAATGTGTTTAAACACCTTTTTAGCAGCTCCAATATAAAAGTGACTTGGAGAATTCATGAACACAAAAGGCAAACTTGCTGCAAATATTACATTATCTTTCATTAACTTTCCATTCACTATTAAAGGCACATTTGCAAGTTTGCAACCAAACATTCTGAATTTTTTAAGGATTTTATCAGCATTTTTTTTTTTTTGACAAATGAAAACAAGTCCATCATCTTGATAACCCTCAGTACCTCAAAAATGTTGTAGCAGCCTCTTATAATTTATCCCACATCTTCTCATCATTTATTTCATAAACTCTTTAATCTATCCTCCATTACTACTCACTAAATCATCAATATATAATACAACAATAAGAACATCACTCTCACCTTTTTTCTTCACATATAAAGCGACTCACTTGTGCTTCTCTCAAACCCATATTGAATGAAATAGGTATTAATTTGGTTGTACTAAGTTCATATCTTTTTCATTAGAAATCTAAGCATAACACATAACCAATCACTTTTAGATGATTCACTGAAGGCTTTCTTATACTCTAAACTTCAAATGGTGTTTGATTTTTTAAAGCTTTCGTTGGATGCATGTTGATTAAATAAATTATTATATTTATCATTTCAACCCAAAAACTTTCTAAAAGACTCTTCTCAAACAATATAAATTTGGTTATTTCCATCACTGTTCGATATTTCCTCTCAAATACCCTATTTTGTTATAGTATATAACTCATTGTTATCTTTTCACATCTTCTTCTTCACAAAACTTCTTAAATTCACCTAACATATAGTCATTTACATATATAATCATTTCTTAAATATTTTATCTTACAACCACTTTGTTTTTCAACAAGTGATTTAAACTTCTTCAATATGTTGAAAACTCCATATTTGTTTCTCATAAAATACACCCAAGTTATTCTACTATAATCATCAATAAAGATAATAAAATACTTATTTAGTGAATTTAAAGGAATTTTCATAAGACCACACATATTTGTATGTAAAAGCTTAAGCTTTTATTTGGCTCTCCATACCACTCCCTTAAGAGAAAAGGTTGTTGATGATGCTTTCCAAGTGCACAACCTTCAAAAGCATCATCATTCTCTATAATAAATGAAAGTCTATACACCATATTTTTCTATCAAAGTAACTTGAGGCTGCTGAAATTCAAATGACCAATTATTCTATGCTAAAATCATGGGCCATTTTCTCTTTTCATGTTCATTGCTATCATAGGTGTGATGTTGAGACAACGCGCTGAAGTGCCTCGTGAGGAAGTATTGTTGTTAGGAAGGAAAGGTTTTTAGATTTAATCATAAAATTATAATTAAGATTCATGAGTTATCACCTAGTATTATGGTTATTGAGAATCTATGATATACGAGAGTCTGGGTAAGGAACTGGTTATGTAAAGAAAAGACGCATTACCCCAAGTGCACCGTACCTAAGATAAACTATATTGTTGTTTGATTGTTTTTCTAGGTCGGGTTTCTATTCGTTAGTTTTTTTTTAAAGTATAAGGTAGATCTCCTTTCATAAAAAGGTCTCTACCTTATCAGGTTTAATCCTTACCATTGTAAAGTCTAAATTTTAACATTGCATTTACTTTATACTTTGTATCTTTAATACCTTAGGGTGAACTCTATTATGTAGTTTTATACCCCACAGAAATTAAAATCTACATCTAAACCTTAATATAAAAAAAAATTGGTAAAAGGTTTTTGACATTTTAGTTAAATCCTAATGAATAATCATAAACTGTTATGATATCTTTTTTTTCTATTTTTTTTTAATATGAGAAAGATGTAATTTTTATTTTTTTTTTATGAAAACATGCTTTGAAAACCTTTAGGATTTGGTCATATACGTGAAAACAAAACTTTTTTTAAGGGGAAATTAATTTAAAATTTTTGAGATTTTTTTAAAAACAGAAATATTCATAAGAAAATCAGGTATTTTAATATCATATTTGTATCTTACAGTGTAAATATAAACTTGATATTATACAAAATTGATAGAAAAACATGCAAGAAAATCACAGTATTTTGAAAGGACTTTTGAAAAAAAATTGGAATTTTTTTTATTTTTTATAAATATATATATTATTATATTATTATAATTAAATATTTTGGGTTGGGCTCGACCCAACCAATTGGGCCAGGCCCATCTTTCTATGTCAAATCAACCCTAAAAAATGGATCAAAATCAGCCCAATGAATCTCTTTTTTTGGATTTTGAGCTGAGTCGAGACAAGTTCAGCCTAACACAACTCATTCATTGACCTAGTTGAGCCACGTGAACAATGCATGAATTATCATTCTCATTCCACTGTTCAAAAATAATGGAACCTGAAGAAAAAAAGAGAGAGGGAAGTTGACCTTGTGTGGAGGATGCAACTGGTATGGGAGGTCGACGCGAGGATGATGGAAGTCATTAGTAGAGGAGTTTGCATGGAGGAGTTTGCATAGAGGTTTGCTATTGCCGGTGTTAATGCTGCAGAAGAAAGGAAAAACAGACAGAGAAGAGAGAAAAGTTAGTATAGTGATTCCTGACGTGGAGACGATTGGCCGCCAGTCGTGCTAGCAGCTTGTGGTGAAAATGGTGGTAGACAAGTCGGAGGTAGTGGCAATTGGTGGCTAGAACAGTGGAGAGAGGGAGAAAAAAAATGGCAGAATAAATAGTATGAAAAGTTTTTTTTTTGCAAACTTTGGACCTGAATTTCTTGATGCTAAGGCTGTGAAATTCACCCATATTTATAGGGGGTGAAAAAGAGATGTTTTTTCTTTAATGGTGCCAAATCTTGGCCCTTAGTTCTGCTGTGAAGGATCTCAATCGTTGATTCAAAGTACACACCATGAAATATCAAATCTGCTCGTTGAAGGCTATTTAAATTGACCTTTTTAAGCTGGCGTCATGGCCTCTGTGGTGTCAATCGGCCAAAAAAGCCCACACTAGCGTGTAGTGAGATGTCAGGTGATTACTTTGATTCAAGTGCTGTCAAATTTGATGGAGGTTAAAGGCATTAAATACACATGCAAAGTAATCTCCATGAGTTGTCATTTTAGAGAAAAATAAAAGAGAAGATGAATGGTAATCAAAACGACGTTGTTTGGGTAAAGTTCATTTCAGTCCTTTAATTGCCAATTTATCTTATCTACATCCCTGATTGACTTCAAACTTTAAATTTTATGCAATTTGATCCCTAAAAAACTTTAATTTTAGCCCTAGATTTTAAAGTATTTTTTATTTTGGTTCTTGATTTTAGATTTCTTCAATTTAGCCCCTTATTGACCATTAAACTTTTAATTTTCTTCAATTTCACCCTCGATTTCAATCAATTAAGCCCCTGTAGTTCGACGCCTTTTACATATTAGTCCTTAGCTGTAAAAGTTTTTAATTTAACCCCTAATTGACCCCAAAACTCTAATTTTCTTGTGATTTTACCCCTAATTTCAATCAATTGACTTGATAGAAATTAAATTGGATCTCTTAAAATTTTAATTTTCTTAATTAAGCCCAAATTAGGTTCTCAAACTTCATTTTTCACCCATTAAGCCCCTAATAAAATTAATTGATTATTGTAAAGTATAATTAAGTCCTTCAACATTATTAAATTCTTTAATTGGACCCAAATTAATTCTTAAATATAATTAAACTATAATTTAATTTATAATTAAATCAAATTGACTCATTAAAAATTTAATTATATCCTTAGACTTAATTTTTATACAGTTATTTAGTTTGACCTTGAATCTATATTGTTTCTTCGATCTTGAGTATAATGGGCTACAATTAGGCTTTGAATT